ACATATATAAAAGTATATATATATATACATATATATAAATATATATACATATATATATATACATATAAGTATAAATATATATATATATATATATATATATATATATATATATATATATATATATATATATATATATATATATATATATATATATTTATTTATTTATATAAATTAAATATATATATGTATTATATGATATATATATATATATATATATATATATATATATATATATATATATATATATATATATATATATATAAATATATAATATATATATATATATATATATATATAATATATATATATATATATATATATATATATATATATATATATATATATATATATATATATATATATATATATATATATATATATATATATATACATATACAAATATATACAATATATATATATATATATATATATATATATATATATATATATATATATATATATATATATATATATATATACATATATATATATATATATATATATATATATATATATATATATATTGCCAACATATGGTTCATATTAATTAGCAGCAGTCACTTGATACCCTTTGTATCTTCTATCCAAGTACTTGATAAGGCAAAATTCAAATGTTATCATCTATGCATTACTTGAACTAAAGAACTGGCCTACATGTCTTACAGGGTGTGTGCAGATACAACTATATGTGGTGATGCAACACTGCAACAGTGATGGTTGCTGACATCAACATATTTACAGTGAAATGATTATGTAGAGATCTCTACCTATCAGACTGCACTTTGTGGGTGGTTCTGCTACAACAACAATGCCTGTGATTACACAATGGACATGAATCCGCAATTCTGATGATACTCTGTAACACAATGATGACTCAATGGCTCATCGTGCATGAAGGCAGTTTTACCAGCTAAGGAAGTTGAATAATATAAAAAAAATAAAAAAAAATGTTTCAATTGATGGGTGGCTTCTGTAACGATTGTTATAAAACTATTTGGTCTGCTATATATATATATGCCCTATAATAAAGCAATATACTCTAATGTTAGAAATATTTTACAATACATACAATACCAAATGAATACAATGGGTCTAAAGATTTCAGTTGTGGAAGCTATCATTTGTTACTAACTGTGAACAGCCTTTCAAAATTCAGTGATTCACAGATATGTATAAAAGAATGAAAACCTGTTAGATGGAATCTCAAAGTATCATTCAGTAGTTGAGGAAACTCACAGCTGAGTTAAGCAGAGGGAATTATATAATAGCAGTTTGTGAAGAGATTTGCACTTTCAACACAATACTAGGAGAATATAATACAACCATATATATATATACTCTACATTTTGTGTATATACACTGTATGTGTATATTAATACTGTACTACATACCAAATTTACACAATTCATTGTCCTCTTTAATTTCATTCACAACATCTGTAGTGTGAAAAGTGAAGCTGCTTTTCTTTGATTGTTTATTACCACATGCCTTGCACTTTTATTATACATTTCAGATTCCATTTTATAATTTTCATAAATATTTCAATGAAATGGGAAAATACTTACAAAATAAATTTTGTTGCCAGTCAAAAGTAAAACCATGACAAGCATCAAAACAATAATTATCAACTTTGAGTTTCCTGAGAAATTATTAGCAAAAATGTTGTGCCATATCAAAATGCGCAACACCGCAATTGATATGCATAGACGGAAGGCAGTGCTACCTTTCCTTAAATGATAATAACATCTTAGACAAGAATATTTGAATAATTTTGGAATTTATAGTGTTTCCTTATTTGCACTGAAGCACTGTTAAGTAGAATTCCATCAATAAATTAGTCAATCACAGCCTACAACTTACTCATTCAGCCAAAATATTACAGTTTAATCTCTTATGAGACTAAAAAAATGAAGTAGGCAGCATTCCAAATATCTTTCCTATGACACTACAAATACATATTCAATTTTCAGTTAAAATGATACTAAAGCAGTTAAACTGTTCTCAGCATTGTTGAGTATGACAGTATCCTACACTGAAATCAGTTTTTTCATAAATAATCACAAAGCAAGTATACGTTATTCATCCATTTGATTTTCCTCTTTTCATGTATCCTTGTTTTATATGACAGAAAATGAAAAAGTTCTGGTACTTATTTTTTTTTTTTTTCTCCTTTGCAGATGGCACCATAAAAAACACCGTTCAATTCCATTCAACTGAAAAACAAACTTCTCATTTCATAGTAATAGTATTGCAAAATGTTCACTTGACAGCTGAGATTCTACCATTCATAATCGTGAGCAGTTGCCTCGGGTTGTGGCTTGTGAGGTGAGGTTATGGCAGGAGCAGCCTTGAACATCTTAGTGTCTCCTTTGCCAGTATTACTTCCGTTCAGCAAATCATTGTATGCCTGAAAAGTTATGAGAATATTTTGAAAAGAGAAAAGCTAATTCTACTTCATACAAGCATAAGCAGCTATCAACCTAAATATACATGTGTGTGTGTGTGTGTTTGTGTGTGTGTGTGTGTGTGTGTGTTTGTGTGTGTGTGTGTGTGTGTGTGTGTGTGTGTGTGTGTGTGTGTGTGTGTGTGTGTGTGTGTGTGTGTGTGTGTGTGTGTGTGTGTGTGTGTATGTGTGTGTGTGTGTATGTGTGTGTGTGTGTATGTGTGTGTGTGTGTGTGTGTGTGTGTGTGTGTGTGTGTGTGTGTGTGTGTGTGTGTGTGTGTGTGTGTGTGTGTGTGTGCGTGTGTGTGTGTGTGTGTGTGTGTGTGTGTGTGTGTGTGTGTGTGTGTGTGTGTGTGTGTGTGTGTGTGTGTGTGTGTGTGTGTGTGTGTGATTGTATGTATCTATGTTTGTATATTCATGTACATTTATTTATTTATTTTCTTTGGGCATCTATACCTTCAGCTACCACACATGCATTATAAAACTACAATATAAAGATGCAACTACTTCTACTGTTTTAGTCTAGTGTGACAGTCTATACGTCAAGATTCCATGTCTCCTCCAGTACCAAATTTTTGTTTATTTGAAACTACACACTGCTTTTATACAAAATTATTGTAGTCAGAACTCTTTTATGTAATATTCTTTTTATTCTTGTTTCTGTAAAGCAGATATAGTCTCAAAGGATTTTTAGCCATATGTTATAATTATATATCAAATGATCATACTGTATACCAATAAAAGACAAATGACTCATTTGCTATACTTACTTGGATAAAACTAATATATAGCCTCTATTTGATCATTTTTTTCACTTCTTTTATTTACTTACTTCTACTTAACTTAAAAAAGTCATGGCTACTATGTAATTATAAGCTTACTTGGAATCTTTGTTTGATGCTTTCATAATCTGGACTGAGATCAGGAGAAGTGACTGGCGAATCTTTCTTCTGGAAGGGGCTGGTGGGTGCAAAGTAATTCCTGAAGGGATTGGTCTCAGAGAACACTGGAGGAACGGGCTTGGTGCTGTAGTTATAGCCACCACCGCCACCCTCACCTCCACCTCCTTGCATGAATGGATTTGTGCTAGCACCTCCACCACCTGAAGCATGAACTTGCTCATAAGTTCTTTTGCAAATACAAAGGCAAGACTTCTCAGTGTTCAATGAATTGTGAGAAGCAACATTTCCATTGACTATGGGGTTTTGAGTGACTGTATGTGTGTATGTGTGTGTGTGTGTGTGTCTACTTAAGTACCTATGTGCATGGCTGTGCATTTAGATATGAATGCATTGATGATAAATGATTACAAGTGTGTGAGATAAGGCACAGTTAAACTTATGCACACACATTAGTCAGCAAAATCAATTTGCTGAATCTTTTTACAGGCTATTCCATTTAGTATCAGAGCTATTACTGCCAGTTAAGCTGCAAGTCTCTGACCTGGTATGTCAAGCATTCCATTGGTAGCATTGTAAGTCCCATAACCAGCATCTGGTGCTCCTTCATTCAACTTTTGTGAACTTAATGCCCTTGGCATCGGATTGGCTGGTACACCATGGGGAGCAAGGGCTGTCCCTTCTTCTGCCATCTGCCTTGGATCTTCCTCTGGAGGCAGATCAGGCTGGAAGCCAATATCCTTGCGGTAGAAGTTGATGAAGATGAAAAGTCCCAAGACAATCAAGGACACCACACCATATGACCGGAACACAACAGCAGTGCCTGTAAGGATTGAATATGATTAAAGTCATGAGTAAAAGCATGTTTCTGTCCATAAACCAAAAGTATATGAATATTATCTTCATACTGATGAACCACTTCAACATTTACTGACAAGACTGAATCTAGACTATATATTTTAATTTATATATAAAAATCCTCCCTGTCCAGGCCTCAAACTTAGGTCACTCCAGGTATGAGACCGGAGAGCCGGTCCATGCCACGCGGCCGACTAAATGTGTATCTGTGTGTGTGTGTCTAATTAAGTACCTTTGTGCATGGCTGTGCATTTATATATAAATGCACTGATGTATAAATGATTACAAGTGTGCGAGATAAGGCACACTTAAACTTATGCACACACATTAGTCAGCAGAATCAATTTGCTGAATCTTTTTACTTACTGATTCTTTGTAGGCAACCTTAAACTTTAAATCATAATCAGTCTTCCTTTTGTAAAACAAGTACATTAAGAAAACCTGTTTCATAGTACACTAACCAAAGTAACTGACAAATATTCCTCCAATGATAGCTCCACATCCTCTGCCAAAGCCATGATGGATGCCCTGCAGTACTCCTTGTGAAGAAGCTCGGAGATGAGGTGGTGTGTTGTGTGCAATATAGGAGCAGCAGGCAGCCCATACAGCAGCATGAGTAATACCTGGAAAATGGTGGCATATATTTGAAAGACTGTAAATTAATACAAGATGTGGAGTTACATGTACCTTTCCAGTAACAAATATACCGATAGATATTACCATGGATTTTATGTATACTCTAAAGTCTAGCTTCTCAAAGTAGATAAGGATGGCAAATCAATCAGTTTAGGAAAATATTCTTGAAAAAAAAACATGAAAAGGACAAATATTAAACCAAGTGTAGAACAGACAATAGAATTGCTATTTTACATATGGTTGAATAACGCACCTTGAATAAATTCGAATGGCAGGACCCACCATGGATTTTTGATCCAAGAAATGTACAAGAAGCGAACCACATTGCCTGTTAAGCCAATGCACAACACCTGAAAAATAATATACAAGTGAATGCTTTTATTATTCTTTTTTTAACTAAAAGGTATACTGTAAATGTGTCTACTTAGTAATTCAATTTGAACAACTCAAGAGTCTTTTTGTGTATATTTTTTTTTTCTTTTCTTTTTAGTAAAATGACATTAGAGAAAAATGAACCATACCTTTACGTGCCCAATCTGTGAGATGAGTCGGAAGCTGAAGAAGTACGCAAAGATTTCTGATATGTGGTTGATAATGCTAGCAATACCAAACACAGTTGGGGTGCCACCATAGTCCTAAGAAAGAGAATGTAGTGTAAGCATTATTTTCAACTTCTTTAAATCTCAGAAGCTTGTAAACAGTCTCTATGGAATCTTGAGTTTAATTCATCAATTATTTGTTAATATGCACAAATGTGATTATCACTTTATTATCCTACTGATATATATATATATATATATATATATATATATATATATATATATATATATATATATATATATATATATATATATATATATATGTGTGTGTGTGTGTGTGTGTGTGTGTGTGTGTGTGTGTTTTATATATATATATATATATATATATATATATATATATATATATATATATATATATATCCATCCATATATATATGTGTATATATATATATATATATATATATATATATATATATATATATATATATATACATATATATATATATATATATATATATATATATATATATATATATATATATATGTATACATATATATATATATATATATATATATATATATATATATATATATATATATATATGTATATATACGTATATATATATGTATATATATGCACATATATACATATATACACATATAATATATAATACACACACACACACACACACACACACACACACACACACACACACACACACACACACACACACACACACACACACATGTATATTCACCTATATACATACCTGCAAGTGCCAGAAGAGGAAGGCAAAGATCAGCCCAATGCCGAAGCCCATCCACCAAGCCACGAAGAGGAAGGCGCCACAGCGGAGGTTTTTAAATTCTCGCAGAACAACAAACCATTCAGGCATTTCCTTCATTGTCTGAGCAAATATCTTGGTCTGCAATAAAAGGTTTAGTCTCATAAATCTGTACATACATAGTGTATATAAAGATTTTCAAAATATACATTTTCTTCCAACTCTGTGAATGGGACAGATCTATCATTTTAGATTTTGATATCTTGTGAAATACTGGTTTACTGAAACAAAGTTGAAAGACACAGAGTTTTGAATTGAGAATACCACATTGAAAGTTGTCTGATGACGCTCATTTTACAAATATATTCAGAATTCTGCCCACAAGCCTCACCTTGATTGTTCCAATAGCTTCATCAATCTTCTGCCTCTGCGATTTCTGCTCTTGCATGGGTATCTTGGGCTCATTCCAAGGTCGTGGTCCATTGTCCACCGGTTCCTTCACCTCCTCCAACGTCATGTCGTTGGATGCTTCCGAGTAATAGAACTGAAAATAAGAGATAGGTGTTATAGGTGTGTAATTAAGAGACTGGTGTTAAAGGTAGTATATGCACACACAGGTGACAGTACTGACATATACAGACAGATACAGACACAAACACATACATCTCTATATTAGAAAACTCAAACTATTTCCACCTGCATGAGATCCCAGAATGTACAAAAACGGAAAAAAAATATCTGGCACGTAAGCACACATATCCACCACTTAAAACCTTTTTACTCACCTTAAACTGTGAAGCTGTTATCAGTGCACAACCCATTAGAACACTGAACACGGCAAAGCATATGGTGTAATTCCGTTCTTTCTCGTGTGGTCCACAGGGGTGCCCAGGGAAGGCAGTGGAGTGGTCAAGGGCAATACCCACAAAGAACATAGCCAGACCCCAACCCAAGGATCCAAACATTCTCTGCCGTCCATAGTGATCTGCCTCGTCTCCTAAGTATGTCAGCACCTGTTGGTTTTGTTAAGGGTTAGACTTGCATGTGCCTGGAAGGTTCTATTGATTTAGCAGTTACATATCATATTTTCATTCATGCAAGATGAGTATGTATTGAATTCAGTGATAAGGATAGATTTACTTGTGGTTCTTATCATATATTGGGAAACAAGAAATACAGATTTTTTTCTCTGAAATATAATTTTGTGGTCCATTACAAGAAAAAAAAAACATTCATTGTAATTCTTTGGCAAAGATAACATCAATTTTTCTCTTTTTACCAATATCAAATGTTTATATCCATGCTATCGCTGATAAAAATCTAACTACCTACACACACACAAACACTCAAACACACACACACACAAACACACACACAAGCACACAAACACACACACAAGCACACAAACATACACACACAAACACACACAAATCAGCTTCACGAAACCGATTCGGAACCTCACCGCGGAGTCGGCGAGGGTGATGGCGGGGCAGCTGAAGAACTCCCCTAGGATGACGACCAAGAGGAGTAGGAAGAACACCTTTTGTACGTCAGTCGATCTGTAGACGATGCTGGAGAAGGGAGGAGAGAGCCAGTCTTCTGTTCCTTTGAATTCTTTGAAGTTCAACTGCCGGTGGGAGGTTGGGTGGTTATTAGCGTGATGACGGTGGTAACGAGGGCATGTGTATATCGTTATCCCGAGAATAATGAGGATAACAACCATGATATGGGAGATGGTAACGGTTGCGATGATAGTGATAGTAGTGTTTATGATAAAGTGTTGTGGTAATGATAATATCAATGACGACAATAATTCTAATTCTAATGATAGTTTTAAAACCTTAATATTTAAATCTTAATAATTCTAATAATTATGGTAATAGTGATAGAATTAAAATAATATTAATCAATAACAATATAAGAAATGAGAACAATATAGCTCTAAATGAATGACATCAGAATCCTCTGCTATCTACCAATATATATATATATATATATATATATATATATATATATATATATATATATATATAGTTTAATATTCTGATAGCACAAGGTGCAAAATGCATTAGTGTGAATGAGTGAGTGAATGAGAGAGTGAATGGGGGAGAGTGCGTGCGAGTGTAAGTATGTGTGAGCGTGTGCGTGGACAACTGCACGCGTGTGTAAGTATAAACTACGAAACAAAACAAAACCAAAAAATGAAAGAATAAAAAAAAATAGAACACAGCGAAAGACAGGCCAGACTCCACGGCGGAAAACCTACGGTGTAGTGGACGACATGGGGCGACTTGCCGATCACGTGGTCTGGTGGCAGCGGCGTGTCGCGTTTATGCCTCCACAGGGGTTGGGAGTAGAAATTGAGGGACGTTTCCTCTTCTCCCACACGGTAATAAGTCATGCCATCGATAGATCGCTTATGGAAGAGGTGTGGCATGACAGGAAGATCAGGTATGAGCTCAGTTTTCGCAATTTTGGGCAAGCTTTCATTAGACTCCAAGGGGAAATCTTCCATGCTGATGCTTCTTTTCTTCACAGGCTGTAAGTTCCATGCCAAGTTGTTAGTATTTTTAAGTTGTTAGTATTTTTTTTTTTTTTTTTTTTTTTTTAGGGGGTGGAGAAGTTAGTAAGAAAATTTTCGTGCTATTTGCTATTAGTCCTGTTATTCAAGAAGACAAATTTCACGGTGTTAAGCATTAGTAAGCAATAGTCATGCTATGAGTTATTTGTCCTGTTCTTATTCATAAAGAGTATTTCCACAAGCCATATTTGTGTAATGCTTTGTAACATTATTTTATATAACTTTTGTAAAGAAAACAATCACACAGGCAAACACATAAACAACATCTTCAAAAGGACATGCACAGAACATACGGAGTTGAAGTCCTTTCTTTTGGGGTAATTTGGTTTACTTTTACAGTTTTACACACACACACACACACACACACACACATACACACACACACACACACACACACATATATATATTGTATGTATATATTTCTAGTATAAACACATCTTTACTATAGCTATCTGGTACGCAAACATACTTAAGCCTACCTCTTTTATGAGACATTGTTATTATATTTGGGGAATAAATAAATTTCAGTCAGGGAGAGAAAAACTAAAAGATATTTTACGTATTTGAGACTGCAAAGAGGCCAAAGGAATCTCAAATTTATCTTCCGTTAAACAAAAGGTAAATGTATCGATCCCTGTTTAATATAAATACCTATACACACACACACATACATACATATATATATATATATATATATATATATATATATATATATATATATATATATATATATATATATACACTATATATATATATATATATATATATATATATATATATACACTATATATATATATATATATATATATATATATATATATATATATATATATATATATAATACATATATAATTTTACATTTATGCGTTATGCTATGATCCATTGGCTATTCGTTTAAACAGACTGTTCTGTTCATCTACTCTACTATTTATTTATATCATAGATGCATATTATATCTACGTCTAATGTATATACAACTACCAAAAAAATTGTATTCGGATACTTCTTCTTAGACTTTCTTTGGGCAAATTTCTTATTCCATCAAAACATGCATTTCCATGGAAGAGTTCTTTTAGACTTGCATTACATATTTCTTTTCTGATCTTCAATAAAATGATACATATATAGTAGTAATATACAAATAGTTTGACAGTAATCAAGGGAAATAAAACCCATATTTCTGGGTTTTATTTTATGTCAGTATGTTAAAAAAAAAAAGTAAAAACATTTACACATCACCAACAATACGAAGCTACAGG